ATATTCTTCAAACATACCTTTTATCCAGTCAAGATCACCAGAGCCACGTCTTGTTAACTTTCTGGTGGCCATTATCTTTATTTCTATCTTCTTCTTTCCCCCCCTTACTTAGAAGGAGAGAGAAAAGGGCTATTTCTTCCTTTCAGTAATCCAATAATCCAGATATAATACCTTAGCTCCCTCTTGTGGCCCAAGATAGTATTCCCAACAATCAAATGTAACCAGATATCCACAACTAGAAACAAAGCAGAAGGAGAGGAAATCTACAGCCAATCACAGCGTAGGAAAATCAGCATCTAAAAATAGAACACTCCAACTCCACAGGAAACCACTTATATAAAAATCTTCCTTTTCAAGAACAAAGGTAAGGTATACCTAGAAAAATAGTCTCCTGAAAATATACAAAACTTTCTACAGCACTTTAAAGCTTCAGAGTTGTGTGCTCATATTTCAATCCTTCCAATCCTGTACAACACACTTAGAAATCCCAAAAAATAATGAAAAGCCAACCAAGAGAAGTATTACTGTAATGGGGATAACCTCTTTAAATTCTTTGAATAATAAACAACAAAGGTGATTTTAGAAGTGGGGTGGCCGGAAGTAGTGTCTCTTTAAGGAGGCTTTAAGCGCGGCTCTGACAAACTGTTCCATCCACTTCCCAGCTGGTTGATCACCGTCCGATCGCATCCGACAAACGTTTGATAAGCTATAGCAGTCCGGAAGACAAGAGGTCCAATTCAAGGCTTCTCCCTGCCTGGAAAATGCTTCGTGTCCTGGAAAAAATTCCTGGGACACCTGGGTAACCACGCTTATAATTTCGGATTCAGCAGAGCTTCAGCCGGAATTAACCTTCTGCCATTGTTCCTCCACCGGAAGTCCTTTGAAGATGTTGTTTATGGTTTCATTATTTACTGCTTGATTGTGTGCCTGAGATTACCAGCAGGCACACAAGCAAGCAGTAAACAATATCCTAATCAAGGAACTACCAGAGGAACAAAACAAACCCCCCACCCCCACCAACACTGGCAAGGCATGCCAGAGTATATAGAGAGCAAATCCCATCCCATTACAGCACTGAAGATGTTACCTAGCTGGGTAATGAAACGTTTGCAAGAAAAGAACCAAGCTCAGAGAACTCCAAGAACTCCACAGTTCCTTTGGGTGCTAGTAACTTTTTGATCCTCTTTTCATGGTTTTAGAATATCAATCTTTTATTAACTTATAATGTTATATCCTTAATTGTTGTTGTTATTGATTTTATCCTGTTGTACTGTTCTCTGCTGCTAGCTGATTTTGTATGCTTCTCTTGTTATAGCACAATTTAAAACAAAAAATAATTTAAATAGCCCAACTTCAGTGCAGGTTCATATGAACATTTCAAGTTAAAGTAATTGAATTTCCAGCATCTGCTTAGGTTTTCCTCACTGTTACCCACCAGGAAGACCTCAAGTTCCATAATATCAGTGAGCTGGGTGACATGATGCCCCACACAGATAATTTTGATTTTATGAAGTTGAAGAGGAACCAAAAGCACTGTACTTTGTTTTTTCAGCAAGTCTGCCTATTACTTTCTTCCAAGACTGCAATATAGTAATCAACTATACACATTCCTGATTAACAAGGGCCATTGAAGAGTTGTTCTGCATAATATTGGGTATGGTACATATTAACCATCTAGAAACTAGAAGTGTGCAAAATAGTTTGTGCACCAACTGGTTTTCAGATGGTTCATGCCCAGAAAAAAACTGGGAGATTTTGTTCCAGGTAAGGGCCCAAACATGATTGTTTTGGGTGGCAGAAATGTTTGAGCAAGGTGGGCATAAGAACAGGAAAAAGCTAAAGACATCAGCCATGACTAAGGGGAGGGAGAACACTAGGAAGAGCTGGTAGGCAGGATGGACTAGAGAGAGATGTCACACTGGGAAGACAGGGGAAGGGAGCGGGACTGTACACCAGTAAAATTATTCCAGGTTCTCTGTATGTTTTGCTTTAGCTGAAGCCTGGAGCAACAAAAACATTCCAGATTTTGTTTCTGCCTAGCTGCAGCCAATCCAGACTGGTTCATCAGAACTTCTATTCTGAGCCCAAAGCAAAATACACTTTCCACTTTGTACACACTCTTCATGTAACAAACTCTTTCTGAAAAAAAAAGAGTGAAAAAGGGAAACAAATATATCTTTATTGTAGATGTATTATATCTCCATTTGACAGTAGAACATTCAGCTATTTGACCAACAGTGATTAAGCTGAAATAACGGACCAAAGACAGGTCTTGAAGAAGTGCAAAATTTTCACTCTTCCCAAACATCTCCATACTTATTAACCTTGGCTGGAAAAAGAAGAGAAAAAAAAAGTCATGCACATAAGACCTAATCCTGCAGCCCACTTTACCAACAAACATTAAGAACAGGATGGACCGCTTGCCAAAACAGCATACATTATTGTGGCAATGTGCCAACACTACTGTATGTTTCTACTGTATAGCCATTGCTTTCACTAGGTTTAAAACATCACTACAAGTAGTCCTCACTTACCAACCACTCATTCAGTGACCGTTCAAAGTTACAATGGTGCTGAATAATGAGACTTGCAACTGGTCCTCAAAGTTATGGCTATGAGCATCCCCATGGTCACAATTATGATACGGGTGCTTGGCAACTGGCGAGCATTTATGACAGTCACAGCATCCTATGGTCACATGATTACCATCTGTGACCTTCACAGCCAGCTTCTGTCAGCAAAGTCAATGGGCAAGCCAGCAGGATGTCACAAGTCATGGTGACGTGACATTGTGCTTAACAACATGGGCAATTTGCTTAACAACCACAGCTGGAACTGACGTGGTAAGCTGGCAGGTCACGTGAAGTTTCACTTTATGACTGCACTGCTTAGCGACAAAGTTGCCGGTCCCAACTGTGATTGGTAAGTGAGGACTACCTGTACTGTATCATATTTAGAGAGGTATGAATTGCACTGGTTCTGATACTGGGGACAAGTATCAGAATCTGGTACTATAATTCTGTTTTATTTGCTTGTCTAGATGTTGTTGCATATCTGCTGAAACATATTTGGCTGGTTGAGTTAGGTTTCTACAAAATGCTACCATTAAGTTGAAGACATACACCAACATGTGGAAGTGTAGGTAAGGAATGTTCTACAAATCATACTGCTCGGTCAGTCCACTAATATATTCCTTCCTCCATCTTGTTTCATAGTAGCTCTTGTATGAAAAAATGCCTGAAAGTATGTACTAAAAAGATAGAAGACACTCAATTTCTCTTTTTTCCTCAGATCACATTTTCTTTTAAGTAAGAATAGTCTGACTAGCTTGCCTATTTCATTTCTTAATTTTTCTATAAAGTATCATTTCTAATAAGAAAAACCATCTCAAGATTTGGTGCCAAGCTCAGTTTCCTTCCAGCAGAATGATAAACAGAAGAAAACAAAAAGAGCCTCTGCATTCATAAGTTTTTCTTAAAAAGTTGTTTTCAAATATACAACTGAAAGAAAAAGATCCCTGGCTGATGTCAAACTGATGTCTCTTAAAAGGGAGGGCTTTCCATTTTCCTTAACATGACGTCCTGCTGACCCATTTTGTTAACCTCCCTTAAATTACTTTCTTCTTACAGAAAACATTTTTTTCCTTCCTAGCCCAAGTGAGTGCCATTCATCTCTCCCAACTTGCATGCCTGAGTTATTTATTAGTGCTAAATCAGTAAGATTTTTAATCTTTTGGGTAAGTTGAACATCTAGTCATTCCTCTTTTGCTCATGTTACCTATTTTTTTTCTCTAATCCTCTAAATTCTCCAGTTTCTTTCACGCTTTTTTAAAATGTCAGGATAGATCATAAACTAGTTTTTTACTATTAATTTCCAAATCTTGGAGGGTTTTATGGTGCAATAAACCCTTTCTTTTTTGGTTTACAGTAAAATCTTGATTTATGGGCTTCTTGGATCAAGGTTTACATACTTAGTAGTTAAGTTCTCCAGACTTTAGGAGATCAGTGCCAAGACACCGATCAGATTTTCTGCAGAGTTTGCCCCATGTCCAGGGCAATACCTTAGTATTGACTACTAAGTATGTAAATCATGATTTAACAGAAGACAGTTTAGCAGACTTAACATATAACAGACAAATTTTTGCTTGAACTTCACTACCATTTGATGGACTACTCTTAATTAAATCAAGATTTTACTGCAAATACCACCATTTACATCAATTACATAATCATGGAAATAATGTCAATTGATAAAAATAATGTAAATTTGGATTTGAGAGACATTCAGATTCAACAGGCACCCTAATGGTCTCTTAAACTGGGTATTTATTCACCTGCATAATAATAAGGATGGGGCAAATGGAAACAGCATGTACAAGCATTCTGTTCATTCATAATTTGGACTGTTAAGTCTTATTTCATATTTTAAATCAGTCTTCCAGATTGGACTAGAAGATTTCTTAGCAATGGTCAAGGTGCCTCATGAATTCTGAAAGTTCAAGTCCCTCCAGATTGTGGAGTGCCTCTATGAAAAAGTAATGTGCACGAACAGCCATCGGCTTTATTATATAATCCCACCCACCCTTTATAGAATACAAATATTTATACTCTTACCTACCAAAGAGAGAAAATTCATTTTCACTGCTTTAGTTTGGCCATCAATTAATAGACCTTACTTTACATATGTTTAATTGTATATATTTATTTGTTTCTGTGGGAGTAGGTATGGGCCATAGTCAAAGTAGAAAGAAGCAATAATGGAACACAACAGCCAAAAACAAAATTGTCCAGTGCATGGATTTATATTCCTATACTTCATTTCACAGGCTGCCAGTTATCATAAAATCAGCCTTATATAGAAATATTTAAACCCATGTCCTCTCTATAGATAAAAAAGGAAAGCATGCAAAATGTAACATGCAATAAATAAACATCTTAGCTGTAACAATAAAAGTGTAAATGAAGTATTTAAGTGTAAATTACCAGCCAGATTTATACAATTGTTTATGAAAAAAGTTGCCTGGGAAACATGACTTAAGTCAACCTTGTTTGCTGGTAATAATCCAATAACTTGATTTAAATCAAAGTGCCTTGAGTGCTTGTTCTTTCTTTTTTGATTTGAGGTCTCTGTACCAAATAATGCAAGGTATACATTTGCTTTATTGGCTACACAGATTTTTCTATATTAAAAAATGCTAAAACTCTACAAGTAACTTTAAAATGATGATCCCAACAAAAGGAAATGATGTGTATAAAAATAAGTAAAAAAAGAATACTGTTTCTTGTTCATGGCTTGGTGTATTCCAAGCACAACTAAATACATAATTAAATACAAGACTTTGGGTCCTTAGCACAATTGCTGCAATGTTGCATTACTATGTTCCCTACTGAATATTTACCTTTCTCCTTTACTGGGGCTGGGGCTGCTGGAGATGCAGATTTCTGCATTACTCCTGCCTCATATCCTTCTCTGTTTCTGCTCCTAAGTTCTTCATATGTGATTCTTTTCTTTTTCGGAGCTTCTTCCACACGTTCAGGCTCTTAAAGCGAAGAAGAAATACCCCCCAAATAAATTAATAGGTCTTGCTGCACATGGATGGAAAGTATATACTGAAAAGTATATTTATCAGTCTTTATGATTTCAGCAAGAGTTTTGACTTTGGTGGAAATTTAAATAGGCATTATTGAAATTATAGTTGATATAAATTCAAATGACCTACCCCGTGTCTGATTTAGAATGTTCAACATAACATCTATACTGTATATCTCAATGCTGACCAAAATTCAGAAGTTGCATCAGTTTCCATCTGATTTTCAAAGCAGCAAATTTCAAAGAGGGTACATGAATTGGGAATTCATGTCATTTTTATGGTGTCTATTAATGTGTTGGTTTCATGGCTTGGCATCCCTAGGCCTGTGGGACCACCCTCTCTAATCAGCTCCAGCCCAATCAGTTAGATGTACCAGGGAGAAACTGCTGCAAATGTTGCACTTTCAGGAGGTTCAGGGAGCCGAGGCAAGGAGGTGCTGCTTTTCTGCTGCAGTGCTGAAACCGTGGTGCAGCCTCCCTGTGGAGATCAGGCTCTTTGCCCTTGAAGCCCAAGCTGTTTCAGAGAGCCTTTCCATGATTTGATTTGATGTTGCCAACTTTCTCTGTTCTTTTTTCTTTGTATTATTGTACTGCTGTTGTGTTTTTATTTTTCGTACTATATATGTTTTATATTTTATTTTTTCTGTGTAAGCCACTGAGAGCCATTTGGATTGCATTACTGATTACTGAATAGAGATCAGTTTAATAAATAAAAAATAAATAAATGTGCAATCTAGTAAACAAAGTTGATTAAATATTTCTGCCTATATAATGTTTGAGTCAGATGTGTTAAATGTTACTGCAGTGTGTAGTTCTGAGTCCACAAGCAAATATTTTCATCTTCCCAGCAAAAAGTTCTCATGCAATTCACCTATAAGCTTATCCTTATCCAACCCTAAATATCAACCTTATAAGTCAATTCAAACTGATACTAGAATTGACAGAATCTGCAAAGCAACAGGTGCCATCCAGTGCTGACTGTCTCTTGGGGGTGGGGCAAATTCCTCCTCCTCCTACAGTCTCTGTATCTGTTCAGGAGAGTTGGAGGATCCTCTGGACCAAAACTGGGGAGTATAAGAGGATGCAAAAGGAAGAGAGCAAAAATAAGTGCGTTTAGAAGACTGCCTCCGTGAGATACATTCCATTAACCGATAATCCAGGACTAAAAATGCTTCACACGTACACATGCCAGTTGTCCCAAGCTTTCTGAAATTCTTTTTTCCCAGCCAGATTTCAAGACCAGAAGTTCCATAGTCAAGGAGGAAAACCCAAAGCCCACTGATGAAATCTCATGGGCAGAATTGGCAAGAAGAGAAAGGACTAACTGTTGCCAAATTTTAGACATATGGGAATCATGTTTATTAGTGCAATACAACTCCCTAGTTTTCCTACTTATCATGCACTGACACTTCAAATCTAAATAAGCTAAAGAAGAATCTAAGTATTAACTACAGGAGTCTAAGTTCTAAGACAAAGGCTACCTTGAGGGATGCTGTCTGTAATTCCACTTGGAGCAGACTCATTCATGGAAGAGCTAAATGGGATTGTTTCATAAAAGCTTGGAGACTCTGGCACATCTGTCGCTGGAGCCCTTTCAGGGGAGGAGGGTCTTCTTGAAGGTTCTGAGTGTTGTTTTCTAAGTCTGTGGAAGAAGAGAGATTGCAAGCACTCTTCTTGCAGTAGGAAGATTAAAGGGGCTAACTTCACTGTTGAAGCAGATGAAATTTTCATTCAACTCAGTAGTTCAAGGGAAAAGAGAATTGTTCTCTATCCTCTGCCATAGTTTTTATACTATTATTAAAAGGGAATTTTGTATGTGTGGGAACTATGTAAAGGTTAACCACAAAACTATGTAAAGGTTAACCACAAAATTCTAACCGTGTTTTCAAACTCAAAAAACTTGGTCATTTTACAAAATGTTTCTTTCTAATTCTTATACTATCATCTAATTTTTTAACTTATGTTTATAGGTGAAGAAAATACACACACACACACACACACGGAAAACATACATAAGCAAAAAGGAATCAATGACAAATTAGCCTCCCAATGCACACTTAAACAGATGAGAAATTTGGTTACACAGGCTAACATTATACTGAAAAAAACAGCTACAAGCATCATAAGCCTATCACAACCATTACTTCTGAAGTAGTATAAAAGAAGCATGCTTAATTTTGAGAAATTAAGGTATATTTGAATTAATCATCCACAACATCTTTAGCAGAAAGTTCTTTCTATTCTTCCATTCCTAACATGTTAAAAAGTTTCATATTTTTCTCTATATTTAACTCAAAACTTGTGTTAAATTTTAGAGAATAACACCTTAAGGACATACATACTAAGCTGAATGTGGTTTGTTTGGTTTTGATACACCAAAACACAAACTGGGTCAGTGAATAAGCTGGGTATAAAGCACTAGAATACAGTCTGAAATTATGACATTGTTGGCTTACTGACTCTAATTATTTTGACTGCCAGAGAAATAAGCCATTAATACATAAATAGTCTTCACCCAAAAATTGCATTCCCACTGTCTATACGAATGTTTTCCAACCTTGGTAAATGGACTTGAACTCCCAGAATCTCAGCTGGCATGGCCAGTGCCGAGAATTCTAGGAGATGAAGTACACACATCTGGAAGCCACCATGGTTGGGAAACCCTAGTCTGTTTCTTAGTTCAGCACATAAACAGCCTGGGCCTATTCAGTTTTACCATGCTATACAAGCACATTGTTTTAATACTTATTAATACTTTTAGTTAAAACCAGTTAAGAATCTTGCCCCAGTTGGACTTGATGGCACAATCCTTCATTGTAGAACAACAATACTAGATGTAGCCTTCTACTCAAATTCAATTCAAAATGTTGTTGATGACCCACAAAACCCTTTACTGCATAGAACCAGGTTACATCACAGTTTGCCATACTTAAACCTGCCATAAGAAGATTGCAAAAACCATGTCCCACCCCATATGAGATGAGGGGGACACGGACCAAGCAACAGGCCTTCTCTGTTGCAACTCCTCTGCTTTGGAACTTCTCGTCTCTGAAGTTTCAAGCAGCCCTTTCCTTCCTCACATTTCATAAAACTGTTAAAACAACACTATTCCACCATGCTTTTAACCAGGAATGAATGTTTCTGGATGGGCATCTGGGGGACTTTAATTTTATGTCTTTAAAAAAAAAAGTATTTTCACTGTCATATTCTGCCCAATTTGTGGATTACAAATTTAAAAAATAAATAATATATTTTTTAACCACAAATATTTTAATAAATATTTTCCAACCACCCACTCTCTCAAGCAAGACTACCTTTTGGAGGACTGTGAATAAATGTCCAATGTTTTCATTTGTATATATTTTTAAACCCACAAACATGTTTTCTGATTTTAAAGAAAAGGCAAATGTACATAAATACAATCAATATTATCCACCAAGTCCATTTTGTCCCAGTCTAAAAGAAAATGTCAATTTAATATTTTTAAAAGTCTCAGAATTCAAGCTGATACCACTCATATGTAGAGCACGCTCATTTTCTGAAGACATATCATGAATTATTGCAACAGAAAAGCAGCATACAGTGTCACCCTATTATTTTAAAGCGGGTTTCCTTTCTAGAAATGAAAATCAAACTCAATAAAAATTCTTACTGTAATTCATTCTTCATAATTTCTCCCAGTGGTGAATCCTCTAGGTTCATAAACTTCTCTTTGCATACATTTATATAAGATATCTTCCCAGCAAACCATCCACAGATGCCTGCAACTTATTTACAAAGGAAGGCAAATACTGTTTTAAGCTGTTTGACACTATGGCATTTTAAACAAAAGAATATAGTTAAAACAGAATCCATGAAAATCACACACACAAAGCCAAATAATCTCTTGCTTAAAACAAGTGTTTAACTTTCTACAGCTTTTTTCTCCACATTTCTTGATAACACACACAGGTCTTATAAAACTACTAAGTAAAGAGGTCAGCAACAGAAAACTCAGATTTGCCTATTTTAATACAACAGAGTAAATTATCATTAACTTTTAAGCAAACACCTCTATTTTCTATCTGTTGTTCAGCAAGATGGTGATATCACTTGGTGAGATCACTATTACAAGTCTAGAGCTGAAATTCTTACTACAGTTTAGGTTCATAGCCAAGTATACATGGATAGGACTATAGCTTTCCTACTTTTCCTATTTGTATCTCTATTTTTTTTAGAACTTAAAGAAAATGAGAAACATATATATTCCCTTAGTTTACTTGGCATACAGTCTGAGACCACTGAGTACATGAATGTCTTACCAGGTGATACAAATGATGACATGTCTGACAACTTAAGTCACCCAAATGCTGCAATTTGTGTATTTGTGTTAACAGTTGAAATGCAAGCCATAATGGTGGCATTTGTGTGGTGTCATTGCACATGTATCATTTTGGGGTCAGTGCTTATTGCTATAGACCAGGGTTCTATATTGACCTCCAAGGGTTGATGGGACTACACAAGGGGTTGATGCTATTCTTATTATTCATAGTACTATTAGCTAAATTAGTATTTAATAAAATATTTTCATATAATAAATGTTTAGGGGTTAATGAAGGGGTCAATGAGTTGAAGAGTTTGGGGACCCCTGCTATAGATACTGTTTACACAGGTCCACTTGCATCTAAATTTTGAACCTTGATACTACTGACCTATTACATTGACCTGCTTCCCATGCCACATTTCTTACATCATTTGTTAAAATGCACAGAATATTTCCTCTCTCATTAAATAACAATGGCAATCCTCACCCTCAGCTATGATCCATTAAGTACAACTGAAGTCTGATATGAATGCAAACTCACATGCCATTTTTGGTACAGCGCCAAACTTTGGATGAGGTGTAATAATTCCTGATAATAAATATTAAGAGGGGAAAAAAGTAAAGTTACTATACAAAAACATTAAGTAAAAAAATGACCAGGCAATTATTTCACCTTCAGCATGTATATATCACTTAGGTTCATTTTTTCCCCCAACTAGGACATGCAATAAAAAGGGCATAATTAGGGATTTGCAAAATATGTCAATCTAGAAATGGAATTCTTCTCCAGAATTTCTAAACACCATATATCAGTTAAGATATCTAAATTGCAAGGTTTTAATAATACTAATACTCAAAATTCTGAGGTATCAGTTCCGTAACATATTCATATTTTATGTGGATATTTTTAAAAAGTACATTATTTTCTTCACCAGCTTTTTAAGAAAAGAAAATTATATAAAACAATGCCACAATCAAAAGCAGTATATGAAGGCAAAATAATACAAAGGAAAAATTATAAATGGCAGACTTTCAAATTTAAAGGTACTGGGAACATACCTTTACGAATTAATATATGAGTGAGCGCTATGGCAAAACTTGAAAAAGGCAAACCTAAGAGACAAGAAAAAAATTAACATTTGTGGGGAGGTAAAAGTTCAGTATATTCTAAGCAACAAGTGCTAAACGTGTTTAGGATGGTACAAAACAGGATTCTTTCAAATCAAAACACTTTCAAGTCAGTAGTGGATTAATTATTGGATTTAAATCAAGGGAACTCATGTACAAATCTTTCTCTGACCAAGTTCATTAGATGACCTCTACCTAAATCAAATTACTTCACAGAGTTACTGTAAGAACTTACAGTTCTTAAATCTAAGCTTCTGGAAGCTGCTTCTTAGCTTCTAGAAGGAAAGATGAAATAAAAATACAACATACAAGCTGGATTCATACATTTGCTGAGCCATAATGTGGCTTAATTCTGGTTATCATGATATGGGAATCCAGTCACTGTAGCCCCTCAATAAGAGTCTATGGCTTAGCATATGTACACGTTGGCACAAAGTGTGGAGTATGAGATACATAATTCAGGATTCCTTGTACTTCAACAGTAGAAAGTAGAATTAAATCCTGCTTCAAATGAAAAATTGTACCACCATCTCCTCCGCTATTGCATAAATTCTAGGACACATATATTACATTGCCACATGGGACACTGAAATATTTTCACACAGCCTTGAACCTACAAATATTTTATAATTGGTATTAAATTTTTCACCCTCTTGGAATCAATTTCTCATGTCTTGAAAGAAAATTCTGTAAAACCAATGGATCATAGATGTGTGAATTATATGGAAGTGTTTCCCCCTGCCCCCAACAATTACCAGTAATGTTACTAAACTGTGTAAATTTGCATGAGCTATATTATTTATAAAATCAATTACTGATTATTTGGCAAAAGGTGACATTGCTCAGCAAAACAACAAATAAGCACAAGCAAGGTGTATTTTTTGGAACATTTTACTTACATCTGTATAAGAAGCTCTCTCTCATGCATTCTTGGCTTACTCTGTATTCTTCTGCTGTGAGTTCATATGATTTATCTAGCTTGTACTTTTATTAAAAAGAAAACAAAAATAAAATATTAAGAGTTTGAAGTATCTCAGCTGTAATAAATATCAGCAACAATAAAACAAACATAAATGTTTGCTGTTATTTTATACTTAAGATTAATTCAAAAAACTTATAACCATGTTCATGCTTATGTAGATGTCTGCATCCTCCAGAGAAAACTGGAGTGTGGAATTATGACACAATTTCTATTTCCTCCCATTTGCTTTGTATACATATCCCTGTACAATACCTGTACACTTTCAGATATATGCTGTGATAAATGTATTAGTATGCCACAGAAGCTGCAACCATTCTTGATACAAAACTCTTTTAGCCAGACTTTGGGTAATTCTATACTAAGAAAAATAATAGAGAATATCCAAGAACAGCATTTTAATATAGTCTGTATTCCAAGGACATCATCATTAGTTTCAGACATCCAGTGCCACTTTTTATTTGAACAGTACTGCCAAGCGTGCTGACACTTTTGAAATTGAGTGTTCACAGTACACCAGGGAGAGGGGAGTACATTTCATGGCACTGCAATTGTCTATCATAAAGACATTCTGTGAAGTCCTTGGAAAGACATTTCTCACTTTGTAGCACTTCATTATTCTTTGGGTGATCAAAGCTTCTATGCAGCTGACTGGCTAACATTTTTAACTGTTTGCAGTAGTAATACACATTGCTCCAATAAAACCCTTAATACAGCATTCTTGCTCAGGTAAGGATTATATCACATAAAGAGTTGTTTGATCTGCTGGCTATTTATTTTATGCTACTCTGTTTTATAGGGGTTTATCCTGTACTGCCACATCTTACTCTAAAAAGATTTAATATCAACAGTATTTATTTATTTATTTATTTATTTATTAAACTTGTCCCCGC